AAACGCTCTGCCGCAGTTTTATAGCTGGCTAGTGACGTTCGAGAACTCTCCCTTCTCCAACTTCGTCTCCCAGAATATTGGGTTGCTGTCCATGAAACCATGCTTCACCCATCCATCTTCCTTAACATGATACAAGTTGATATATCCACCCGAGTATGCATCTCTGTGCTGGGCAGCCAAGATACTCCTCTTTCCCAGCTCCAAAGCCTCTTCATCCTCTAGATCGTACTTGTACAGTGCATCAAGCACACCATAAGCGAATGTCTGACCTGAACCCACACAGAATAGGTTGCCTGACAAGCGTGTACCATCTGAATCAATGTAGTAGAGTGCTGGGCCTTCTTGTGGTGTGACGCCAGTGATCATGGTACCCATGGAAAGGCCCATGCCTTTGTAGGAGTAGACGAGGTTGGCGAGCATCTTCGAGGCTGCAGCGACGGATATTCGGCGTTTGTGTCGGAGCTCGTGGAGGCGGCATTGAATACCAAGGTAGGCGAGCCAATACTGGCAGTCCTGTGGAGGGTTAGCAATACAACAGCGTCCCGTGGAGTGAACGAACGTACAGCAGCACCACCGGCCATGGTCCCTAGCAGCATTGGGTTGATCTCAATGACTTTCTTGACTGTCTGCGACGCAATCCAGTTGCCGGCTGTGGCTCGAGAATCTGTAGCTACGATGATGCCGCCCTTGAATCTGAAGGCAAGTGTCGTCGTTCCATGAGCAATCTTGATAGGGCAATCTGGATTTGAGTAATCGTCCGTGGCTGCCCGCAGGAATGCTGATGGTTGTGCAATTGGAGGGAGGGCGAATTTCAGGGAAAGTGGTGGTAACGAGTCTGAGTATTCTTCTTGTTCTTCTGTAGAGTATCCTTCTTGCGCGAACGCTGGTTGACTGTACTGAGCCACTAAGGCGTCCATCTTGCTGAATTGACCGTGTGCAACGCAGATGAAAGCTGGAGGGTTGCGATCTGTGAGGGCAGGCTATATCGAAGAGAGAGCAGTGTTCGTGAGACCAAAGTGAAGGTGGTGCGCAAAGGTGTGGTGCTGGCAACGGTCAGGCTGCGTAAAGGTGACGAACTGCGCGTTGACTTGACGCCTTGTTGCAAACACAGCAAAGCTCTTCATCTACTTTGGGGTTAGTGTAAACCGATTCTCGAGGATATTAATCATTATGTGTTTAGCATTCAATGACTTTCGATGCCTTGCATCACCTTCGATTCAAAGTCATTCTGGCACGCTTGCTAAGTACAATAGACCGCAGGCCACACAAAGCTTCAGGCACACTCAAAGAAGTCACAACCGTATGCTCGTACATCTTGCAACCTTAGCTTTCAAACAGTGCAAGCAAATTGTTCATGACCTTCAACAACTCTCCCTCCTCTTTCACAACCGATCACTACTATCTGCCTGTTTCACAATCTTCACTTCTCCCTTGTCAAACAAATGCCCAACCCTTGAACTCCAACGCGAACCTCACAGCAGCCTTCTCGAAGAAACTGTCTTTATCCCCCCACACCGCCGCAGCCTCCTTCATGGCACGTACACCTTTCACAAAATGTTCGTCAAATTTGTGCTCACCCTCAAGTGCTCGTTTCACTGCTGAATCCCATGACTCACCATTGGGGATGTCATAATCTAGGACTTGTTGCACCGTGACCTTTGGACGCAGCTGTGCAATGTAAAGTGCAAGTGTGATGAGCCACCATTCCCGAACAAGCAGAACATGGTACTCAGCTGGCAGAAAAGGAATCAATATGCGTACGGCATGCGACGTCGTGAGGACGTGTAGGAGGAAGAAATCGTAGCCATGGCCATTCATTGGTGCGGCATGCGTAGTTGAGATAAGAAGCGCTGTTGCAAGTCGCTGCGTGGCTTCAAATCCTGCCTTGGCCTCATTTATCTCCCATGCCAAAAAGTGCTCCAGAAGGATGGAGGTAAATTTCTCATTACCGAAGAGACGTGAAAGGTTGTCGTCGCCGAATTTGGTGAAGTATGGGTCAAGACGCTTATCATTGCGGATATGATCGAGGACTTCGAGAGGGTTGGTCGTACTATAGGATGGTGTAGCTTTGCCTTCTTCAAGAAGTGCTGCAAGCTTAGCGTCATAGCAAGTCGCTGCAAGGCCAAGAGCTTCCATGCCAACCTCTCGAGATGCAAGTTCGTAGGCGTAGCCGAGGTGAATGAGTGGGTGACCCAAACCTCCTGTAAGGCACGAGAACATCGGAAACGAATTTGCAGAACCCTTAGGGCCACGTTCGAAGAGAAACCTGGTAGCAACCTGTCTCCAGTCGTACGAGTTGTCGACCAGCTGATCCTCGAAGAAGTCAACCCATGCTCGCTGGTATTCACGCTTGCCCAGGAAGTCGCGGTAGTCATGGAGAGCGATCTCGCCTGGCGAATCCTCCCACCCCTCATGACCTTCCGATGAGGCGTGTTCATAGATTGCTGTCAAATGATCCGCGTTACTTCCGAGTATATAAGCTGAACCAAGATGATGAGGAGTGTGGTTGTGGAAGTGGAGGTGATTCCAGAGAATGGAGAAGTTGGCGTGGTTGAGTTTGAGGAGGTGTTTGAGGCGGCGGTCCCGTTTATCTAGTGATGTCTCTACATCATGAATCTTTACTGGCGGTATGTCGATTGCTTCCGCTGTGCTTCGACTAAAGCTGAGCTTTGGCAAGCCGGAGGAGAAGAATGATGAGAACATCTCGACACAATTGGCAAATGTAGCTAGACGAATCCGTCAATTGTAATCTGTAATTCAAGAGAGTTTTCCAAAATGAGGTTCAACCCCATTGCCGTTCTCTCAGCCCATTGTTGAATGGTAGGAAGGGAAGATGGTTGCACGATGTGGATGAGCAACATATAATGAAAAGTGGAGAAGTCGTCATTGGCTCAACCTCCGCTTTTGGTCACGTATTTCGTATCACAGCTTACATTGGAACATACATGTGACAGCACTGCATTGATTTCAACGGTGGGAATACAACGCAGCATGTTCCTCGAGGTTTGATCAACAGGCTCGGGTGCGGACTACAGGGTGTTCAAAATTTATTCACAGCTTTCGTTACACGGCCTTATCCAGGCGAAAGTAAACCTGATTTACTGACATTCCAGGACAAGAGTAGGCACACTCACACTTCGACCGAATATTGCTCGTTAAAACGCATAACCTGAAAAAACAGCAGCAAATGCGATAATCAACAACACCTCGTTTGACCCAAGACTCTGCAGAACTCCAGCATCCCAAATATCCGTTTTCTGCTTCTCTAACTTGATAGATCACTTCATTGTCTCACGACCAACTCCCTCTCCATGCGAGTTCAAGCTTATCATTGATATCTTCCTTCTTCTTTAGTTTCTTATCCACACCTTCCGCCATTGCAGCCGCAACATCCTCTGCCGTCGTTCCCCTCTTCCTCTTATTCGTCTTTTCCTCACCCAATACCGTATCCTCTGCCACAAATTTATATACCTCAGCAATACCACCGTAAACCTCGTTGCCCATCTTCAATCCACTAACACCCTTGAATGTTTCGCCAATCTGCCTCATCTCATCAACCCACCTGTATGCCTTTGGCGCCATGGCTGTAATGCCTTTTTCCGCACGATCGCGTACGCCAGGGGCGTATTTATCAAGGTGTTCTTGGAATTCAGGGAGGACACCACAAGTCTGTGCTGTCGTGTAAGAGAGGATCGACAAAGCTGTGAAGCCTTTGCTCAGCGAAGCGAAGCAGGCTTTCAGGGCTGAGGCGGAGCCGATCTTGTCGGAAATTATCTTCATATTCAATGTTGACATGAGATGTGCCGGCAAAAGGTCTCGAGGTCCAGAAAGCGGGATGGATGGCAACTTCCATTCATCTGAGTCGTCGCTCTTTGAAGGAGGAGCGCCGATGATACCGCCATCAATAAATTTGATTTTGATAGGCGGTAGCGGCGGACTGTCAGGCTGTTGTGCTTGACCACCCATTGACAATGTCCGAGTGATGCGACGAGTAATACTGGGTGGTGGTGGCGGAGTTTGTGAGACGTTGGTACCCAGAATGCCGAAAATCTTGGATGTAGTCAATGGTGAAATGGCATTTAAGTCAACATATATGACACTATCTGAGCCTGGACCCTTTCTTTCTTTTCGTGGACCAGCAGCTGGCTTGCATACATCCGCTATTCGCTTCGCAGTAGCAAGTGCATCCCTTGGTGGAACAATGCTGAATATAATATCTGCCTCGGCAAGTAGAGCTTCGTCTGACTCGACGTCCTTGATATTTGCGGCACGTATTCGATCTATCGTATGTTGACTAGTGAAGTCAGCATAGCAGAAGAGAGTCAAGGAAATCGACCTGCCTTCTGCCAGCTGAGACCGTCAAGACTTGATAGTCGTGGGAGAGGAGAAGTTTAGCAACACCCATGCCCATGTCCCCTATTGACACGATGCCGATAGACGGTTTTGCTGATGCTGAAGAGGACGCCATGACACAAAGAGTTATTGTGGTGTCAAGAATATGGTGAACACGTTCCGTCAAAACGTGGAGCCACAAGCTATAATATATAGTGGTACAGGACGAATTCAATAAGTTCGTGTCGAAAGTTTATATAGTCAGAGTTGTGAACTGATTTCGGTGATTTTCTGTGGTCTTCCTAGTTACGGCAAAGTCTTGTGATGTGATGTCCTGGGCGGGAAGGTTCATGTTTAGACCCATCTGAGCACGGAAACCTTTCCCATCACGTCAGGAACGAGAAAGATCATCGAAAGATGCTTTCGCCAAGCCGATGCTTCCATACTTTCCATGCTGCCAAGACGTTGTTCATTCCCCTCTCGCACAATCTTTGGGGGAACTTTTGAAATCTCAATAAAAAAAGGAAAATTATAAAAGTGCAAAAAAAAGAACCAATACGTTTGGAATTGAGCCGAACGCTGGAAGAACAGTCAGTTGACGTGTTTTAGACACTGAGAGGGAGATATTTACCGGGACTATCATTAATGTTAATGCATGCTCATAGTTGAGGTGCTCGGATGAATTACCTCGAACCCGCAACCTTGAGGTCGAACTCTGTAATAAGAGCCACACGCTCTACCGATTGAGCTAGCTCGGCGTTGATTTGTGCTGATTTGTGAGCGTGTTGTGCTATTGTAAAATACATAACCCTCAAGCAAATAACTCAATACTCCATTGCCTTGTTCAACGAGCCGGATAAAGCAAGCCGAGGGAAATTCAAAGGAAAGTGAAAAATTCGCGCGGAAGAGATTTGAGTCACGTGCCAAGGCAACGGTGGAACGATCTATGATTCAGACCTGCCTTAGTGTTCGATCATGCGAGGCTTTGGTCCAGGACAGCCTTAGGGGAGTAAGAAGATACGACACTCCCGGTGTTCAGCTACAATGTAGCTAACAGATAAGAAATCGCACCGAGTGGACGACAGAGAGCAGATGTAGCATACAAAATATCACAAAAGTATCATAATATATTGCTCGTTCTCGAGCTTAGATCTCTCGTGCAAACCTTGCCGAACTTGCTCTCTTGCACAATCTACCCTTTCCCTGACCTATGCCCCATTCTACCTTATCTTCGTCTGTTGGACCGTCAACGATATCCCATTGGTCGTAGCCAACACATGGCTTACACCAGAATACACCTTGCGGATCATATTTGTTCTTGATCTCCAACAGCTTCGGATAGTTCTTACCAAAATAATCCTCCTTCCAGCTCGGGTTACTCGGATCCGCCTCGTTGATATACGCCCCAGACTTAGGTGCAAGAGCCTTCAGCAAGGCCACCTTATCACGCAGATCCGCTGTAATAAAGTTCTTTGCTGTAACATTGTGCGACGGCCACGACCTTGGAAGCGCAACATGTGCGTATGCCGTGCGCCATGCGGGATTGACAGCGTTACTGCCGTTAGGAATTGTCGCAACTGCATTGCGGACGCCCGGGCCTGCGATCACATGGCTGATTGTTAGCCAAGGCAACGGCATGACACCCTTGATTGTTTCTTTCAACTTTGTGAAATTTGTTGTTAGAGCTGGACCGTCGAGAAGCCAGGAACCTAAACGGCCGTCTACGCCTGCGGCTTCAGAAGTCGACGAGGCCAACGACAGCATTATATTGTCCGTGGTATCGTAGGTGCTTATTGCTATGTAGGTGGGATCAATGGACCACGAGGATGTGTTAAAAGCGGCCTCAACGGGGTTCATGATGGCCTGGGCTTCCTCGGGTGTTTTATTCGGGAACATCCAGGCACCGTAGATCACATCGTTGCCGTATGTGGGCTCTGGGGAGGCGATGCCGGAAAGCATATAGTGGTAGCCCATTCCACCTGCCTCAGAAATTGTGGGGAATTGGCTGTGGAAGTAGGCCACCAGAGACCAGTAAGTGTCGCTGGCAGATTTTGCGGCGTAGGCGTAGGAGTAGGATGTCACGCTGAGTTTTGAGTAGGCTTTCATGGTGACAGAGAGCATGACTGCGAAGGAGGCGCCACCGCCGCGCATAGCCCAGAAGAGGTCTGGGTGAGAGGTTTCGTTGGTGGTAATGTACTGACCGTCTGCCGTCACGACTTCATATTCGAGGACTTGATCGGCGCCCAGACCAAAGACAGAAGAGATAGGACTGTGGCCACCATGCAAGATCCAACCTCCTACTCCTACATTCGGATCTGCGCCACCAACTACAGTGATGTTGTTCTTGGACACTTCTGCGTAAATTTCGCGCCAGCGCATACCAGCCGAAACCTTCACTGATGCAACGCCGCCATAGCGAATAGCACGGGGGTCATTGTGCGTGATTTCGACGCCACGGAGTCGATGAGTCCAGATTGAAAGGCTACCACGACCGGAGGATCGGCCGGGAAAGTCATGGCCTGTGCCTTTGACAACGAGGCGGATGTTGTGGTCTCGTGCGAAGTTGACACCGGCTTGGACATCTGCAACGTTGATAGTCTCGATGACGTAAGCTGGGTAGCCGTCACTGGAGCAATGGTAGATAGCAGCTGGCGGGCATGTCTCGTCGTTATAGTCTGATGTCCATGGAATTGAGGCATGCCATGAGGTGTTTGACCATTGCGAGGCCAGATATGTGCATGTCGCGTTGTCGTATGATGGGTCGTTCGGTTGACAGACCGTTCCGATAGCATACGGCTTGGTGAGTCGACCGGATACTGTAGAATTCAAATTATCCCATGTTGCTATGTCTGGCCAGTTCGCATCGCCGGGCTGTACCCTGCATAGTTGTGCTGAAGTGCAGAGCAAGAAAAGGGAGATGGAACAGATGGTAAATGAAATCATGATATCAATGTGCGAGAAGTAGAGTATTCGTGTTCATTCACCCGATGTACACTGTACACTCACCATGGAAGGCTATATGTCATTCTTATATATAACCCCGTTTTCAGCGCAGGCAGAACCATTCTTTTCAGCCGATCAACGGTGCACTTCCTGAGCTAGGGACGAGGTTCAACCTTCAGCGTTAGCAGGGGCACGTTCAACCGAATACGCCGTTAATCAATGTGCCAACCACAAAATGATACCAAATTCTTCGCAGTAACCAGGCTGAGATTATCAAAATCATGCTTGAAAGACGATCATTCCTGACTTTGCGAGAAAGCTTGACATCATCTCGTAACCGGATTTGATGAGACCAAAAATAGGTCAGGAACAGTTGCATGGTTGCAGGGATGCTTCGAGAAATCGCGGAGAAGGCACCGTCGCGAGACGAAACCCACGAACTAATGCATGTACCTTCAATCAAAATAGAACTTGCAACGGACTGTATTCCGCTAACCTGGGAGATTTGAGAAGGGCGTTTGACAGGTTGAAAGTGCAAAGCTCGCTGGCAGGCACAGATAAAGGGAACAACGTAAGTGCAAATATTGCAAACCTAGCAAACATAACGCGTGACTGAGCATTTGCACGCGACGAGGATCCAACAGGCATTTGTCGGACGAGAAGACTGCACCACTCGAATCTCAAAGCGCATCACCACTAACTTCCTCCCCATGGACCTCGAACCACCACCTGCGAAACGTCGAAGAACGACACCCGAGCCGGATTACTCTTCCCAACCGCAGGCTCGAGAAAGGGACCGAGGGGACGATCGAGACAGATCGCGCAGACACTACTCAAGTTCTCAAAGCAGGTCAAGAGATAGAACCAGGAATGATGACCGCGACCGGCGACTGTCTTACCGTCACCGTAGTCCTAGCGTAGACTACACCCCTCGATCACGTTCCCACTCTCGCAGGAGATCCTACACCCATACCATATCCCGCTCGCAATCCCCAGACCATTTACGCCCTCCTCGGCCCGTACTATCCTTCACAGAACTGTTCGTGTTACCTTCAGCTCACGCCCGTGGCATAACGTCTGCCAAATTCTCCCCCGATCACACCCTTCTCGCAACGGCCTCGGCCGATGCAAGCATCAACATCTATTCTGTGCCATCCCAGCTCACACCTTCTCAACCTTTCAAACTCCTTCGAACCCTTCGCGCGCATCTAGCTGGCGTCAACGCTATTTCCTGGTCCCCCATTGGTCCGCCATACACACTGGCCTCGGCGAGCGATGACAAGAGCATCCTCCTGTGGTCACCATTGAGTTCAGACTTCCCAATCCCGCCAAGTCCGTTAGTCGGACACAGTAATTATGTCTACAGTCTCGCCTTCTCGCCGAAAGGAAACATGTTAGTCTCCGGATCATATGATGAAGCCGTATTTCTCTGGGACGTACGCAGCGCAAAAATCATGCGTCAGTTACCCGCTCACTCAGATCCAGTCTCCGGCGTCGACTTCATCCGCGATGGCACAATGGTCTGCAGCTGCGCTTCCGATGGTCTGATTCGCATCTGGGACGCCGGAACTGGCCAATGCCTCAAAACTCTTGTCGACGAAAACCGTAAGGCCGTGACTGCGGTCCGTTTCTCACCCAACGGAAAATTCGTGCTCGCGTGGACGTTGGATAATTGTATACGCTTGTGGAAATATATGGGCGCCGATGGGGCCTGTGTCAAGACTTATCAGGGACATGTAAACAACAAATACTCGCTAGCCGGGACATTTGGGGAGTATAACGTGGTTGATGAAGACGGAGTCGAGAAGCGGGAGGCTTTTGTCGTGAGTGGAAGCGAGGACGGGGACATACTGCTTTGGGATGTTAACAGCAAAGAGGTGCTTTGGAGGGGAGTGGGGCATAAAGATGTGGTGCTAAGTGTTGATTATGGGAGAGCGAAAGATGGCAAGGGATTGCTTGTTAGTGTGGGTAAGGATAGGCAGTTGAGGCTTTGGGTTGAGGATGCAGAACCGAGCAGGGACACAAACAATGATGTGAACTCCAAAGACATGGACGTCGATAACGAGGTTGATATTGATGGGCGTACTGTGAAGATGGAAATAAAGAGGGAGGACACTATGTCTATTGTTGGTCACGCTTGAGCTGCTAGCTATGTTGGCCATGCTAGACCATGGGCGCAAAACCCAATGATGAAAAATCGAGATGCCCTATTCAAGTTGCACGACATCGTATGCTTCCGTCCGCTTCACCTTATCACTGCGACAAGCATTCCTAACTCCTAGCCTATCCATCCACACTTTCTTGTTAACATAACCCAGGAAGGTGTTTTTCCACCTGACTTCCTGCCGGCTTCACGTCTCCGCTCCTGATCGCACCTTCATTCTCTCATACACTTCTTTCCAGCTCTGAGCATCTTTCGTCTTCCTTCTATTTTGATTTGACGCATTGATGTGTAGCCATCCGCTGCTGGGACGCTAGCTCGGCTGCTACAACTCTCGGCTTATCCGTTGTACCTTCCTCACCACCGCTGTCAGCTAGCTGGTAGAGTACACACTGCTACAGGCTCCGCTTTCCTCAACGCCGCATATCCCGTGCTATCTTCAACTTTCTCGTTTCTCTTTGCAGTGCAGCAATTCTCTTGAATACCTTTGCCCTCAACCAATGACTCGTTCTTTTCCACTCAGATCCGGCCTTGACCCGCCCGTTCTTTCACGTTTCTACCGCGGTATTCGGTACCGTCCCTGCGCCTGTTCAGCCTTGAAACCGTCGCTTTGACTCGGTAGCGGTGCACGGGTCCGAACTCCGGCTCCAC